CACCCACTCCACCTGTCCGAAGATCCACTCGTCTAGTGAAGCCACCTGATAAACTGAACTTATAGCATGTTTGCTATACATTTACTGTACAACGTGACTTGTTTAGGACATTTTGCTACCATCCCCAATTATGCTTTTTATTATTCATATATAATTGTAAACATGTTGTTTTTTTTAGTAAGGGGGGTGTTATAGTTTTACTTCCGGTGTGTTATTTCCGGTCATATATGTATGTCATGATTGCGCATGTCAGCCCGTGCCTCGTGCATCGTTTTCAGTCAGCCATCTTTTCATTCATGTATACTGGGTTTAGTTAAATAAAGCTTAACTTCAAATCACAACAACTACTCTATCGCAGACAAAACTACTACCCTAACCCAAATGGGAAAAAAATGATACCCTATCGTAGACTTGGAGCTCCGGAAAAGGGAGTCTATCCTGTGGCACATACCCGTATAGCAAGTAGGGTATGTATAATCACAAAAAATGGTCTTAATAGGGTAAGGGTTTTGACAGTCGAGCGGCACATCCCCACCAAAGTTGGGATCGAATACCCCCTCCCTCCTCCCTTCCGGCAGTTTACAGTAATTTGTATGTAATTTAAGGTATCAGCGTACCCACGCGACCCCTACTCGCGTCATCGACTATAACCTTCTTCTTGTTGTTTTGCAAATGCTCACATAGTATATATTTTCTGAAAACTTAGTAACTGTAGTTTATGCCGAAAAGTGTTTGAAATGCATTTAAAATTATGTTTTAGAGTTATTAGTTCCTTTATCTGAAACTACATGCCTGTATAAAACGAATTCCAAGTCTGAAAGAATTATCGGAAAAATTCAATTAAAGCGATATTCTTTTGTTCACATATTTGTCTCAAAAATTGTGTCTGCGATATTTTATACGCGCTCTCGTTTTGATTTAATGTTGTAATAAAGTTTAGCTTCTACAAGCTCACCCGGATAAATAGAGTTAAACACCTACTAGATACCAAGACACTAATCTTGACCATCTCAACATTAGTCTTTTCAAAACTATTCTACTGTTCGACAATCTGGAGCAACACCACCAATGCTAACAAGAACAAGCTTCAACTTGTACAAAACTACGCAGCCAGAATTGTACTTGGTCTCAGGAAATTTGATCATAAGGCCTCCAGAAAGTAAAGTGGCTGAATATCCGTGAAAAGCTTTAATTGAATGACTGTATAATGATGCACAAGTGCGTCAACAAGAAAGCACCACCTTATCTAACAGAGAAGTTCCAACAAAGAAATCAGGTCCATACTCGCCAAGAATACACGCCAAAGCAACGATCTCAATTTACCAGCGTGCAGACTAGCCACCGGCCAACGAGCCTTCGCCTTTAGAGGCGCAAAACTATGGAACAATATCCCTAAAAACATCAAAAGAACAAAGAACATTAAGCAGTTCAAGAAGAAAATTGTTAATTACATCAAATCTAGATAGATTAGCACCCAAAAAAGTATTAATATAGACTAACTTTTTATATATATCTCATTTTTTATTCTTGCATATACAGCCTTTTGCACAAATTATGAGACATTTTTATATATATAAATATACCTAACCAAATATCAAAAACACCCAAGAAATTATGGGATACCGTCGCTGATATTTTGTCTGTAACAACCTGATGCTAGGCAATCATGACAAAATATAATAGAGATATACCATAATTTCTGGGGTGTTTTTGATATTTGGTTAGGTATATTTATATATATAAAAATGTCTCATAATTTGTGCAAAAGGCTGTATCTATTATATATATTTATATATTTCCTTATTTAGAACATTGTTACTGAAAAGCCTTTTTAAGGAGTACCAATAAAGTTTGCATAGTATTGCATTGTATTGTATTCCATTGGCTTTAACCGTTTCACTTGCGGGCTCCCTGTGGCGCACGATAGTATTGCGTCCCGTGATGTGAGTTTGTTTGAGGTGATGTTGGAATGTGCTCCTACGGTCATTACCTATCAGCGGTTGATATCAATCTTACGTAATCTGAGCCGCGAAAAGGCCATGATTCAACCACGAGGTTTCTCTTTGACTCCAGCGTTCTTGCACTCGGTAGGTACGGAATTTATCATGCTTAATTTGGCTTTTTTCGCTTGCGGGAGTATTCATCAAGGTAGCTGTAATAGTATCATAGTCACGTGATAGCTCTCTCTCTCATGTTGCCCAATGTGAAGAACATGCCAAGTTACTTATGCTGTATTAAAAACCAAATCAATAACCAACATAGCCTCCAGTAAATATCATGACATGGTGTCAGAAGTAAAACAGCAACATACAAGACACTGGTAGGTCGACAACAATTCATTATATACGATTTGTGAAGCTACGAAATACTATAAATCATGTCGGCGGGATTCACACCACCGATTATGAACTGGCAAACAGGAGCCGATATCACCGACGAATTCGCTCGTTTCAAGCAATACTGTGAGCTGATATTCAAAAGTCCTCATTCAAAGAAAACAGAAACCGAAAAATCCTCATACATTTTTTGTGGATAGTCCGCCAAGGAGTTGATATATACAACAGTTTCACGTGGGTTCGCGACGAAAACAAAAACAAGCCAGACATCATCTGGTCGCAATTTGAAAGACACTTAGCACCCAAAACTAACTTTAGGTTAGCTAGATTTCAGCTACAACACATGAAACAGAATGACGACGAGAGCACCGATGATGTTATGACAAGATGTAGAAATCATGCAAATAAATGCAAATTCAGAGATAAACAAGAGATAGACGAGAGACTCATAGAACAATTAATTATAGGAACTA